TTTTTTTGATCGATACCGAAGGAAAGTCGATCGTCTAGAAAAGTAGACGCGAGTACTCTTAATCAGTGAGAGTGCGCTTAAATAGAGATCGGTAAATCGAGGATAATGTTGAAAGTTTGAAGCAGTAGGTGGTAGATAGTCGTTCTAGCTGTTTGCATTTGGGAAGGAAAAGAGGTCTGTTGAACGTCTGGGTTGGTTGAGAGAACAGTTTTGCTTTCGATAGACCATGTGGTCGATGGTTTTTTCCTCCCCTCGAGCGTCTGTTGCGTCGAACTTTTCTACCAAGATTTTTCTGTTTGAAACTATTTACGATTCCTGTGTTGAATCTCAGCCGTGTGGTCGGGAAAGGCCGTCACAGAAAAGGGGTTTTTGAATACGTTCCATAAGATTGGAGGAATTGCTCGTGACATCCTTGGTTTCATCGAGCACAATGGGACTCGTCTCGATGAAGAACTGCTCGTCTTTATGCTCGATTGCTTTCAAGCGATCCCTTCCAACGATCGACCTTCCCCTTGTGCTTCGAGGGTGGCAAATAGAATTGGCATCAATCGATCGTGTTTTATCTAATTACGTTCCGCTCTTTTCCACCAGTGACTAGGTAATCGCATAATTAATCGATTCTTTTCGATACTTCGAAAGATTGTTGCCTCTTTCATTATCTTCCTTCCTTCCAGTTTTCGTTTAATAAAATTTTCAACCCTTCTATATTCGTTCTATTCCTTTCCAAGTTTTTTTTCCCTCGATTTTTCGTCACTTTGCAAACAATTGTTATCCTTTGAAGAAGTTGCTCTTCAAAGAAGCAAAAATTTGAGCGGAAAATGCGTTTCTTCTTTTTTTAAAAAAAGAAGGTGTCGTTTTGAATGGAAACGAAGGTTTTCACTCTTGTTCCAATTCTAAGTGAAAATCAATACCTCTTTTTCGAGTCAACCTTCTAAATTGTGACACTGCTTCAAAGGCGAAAGATTTCCCGGTTCATGAATATTTAACAACCGGTAACACGGAGTCGGATTTTTCAACCCTCCTCGAATCGGGAAGAAGAGTTTAAGACTGCTCACGCTTGAACGAATTGTAAAGTGGTCTTAACTTCGATCCAGTTTCTCGAGATCCTCGAACCGCGTTCGCAATTGCTCCTCGTTCCTTCTCCATCCATTGCGATTCCTTCCCAAAGGAATGTATACGATACAACGAAATATGCCGAGTTGCTCTCCAATGTTCTTCAAAACCTCTCGAGGATTCCTTTGGAAATTGACATTCAAGAAGAAAAAAAAAAAAATAAAAAACAAAAAAGAAGAAAAGAAGAATATTAAAAATTCTTTTGCATAAGAAATTGAATTTTTCCCCGCAATTCTTTGAAAATTGACAAACACCTAATTCCTTCCTCTCTGTGACATTAAAAAAAAAAAAGAGGAATTAAATAATTCACGAAAGTTAGTTCCATTCTCTATCCATCTTTCCTAAAATTCCAAAACAGTTTACTAACTTACCAGAAGATGATAACCATTTTCTAACGTCTCTTTAATACATCGTCTTCCTTAAAAACTATTGAAAATAAAAAAAAAAAAAAAAATTTTCAAAGCTTCATTGAAACAGAAAATAATGGCCTTCATAATTATTTTCTTCATAATTCCTTTATAAAAAAAAAAAAAAAAATTCGTCTGTTTCCATTTTCAAAATACAGAGCACTTGGGACAAGCGGAATTCATCTTGGAAGAGATGAATTTTGTAAAAAATAAAGGTATGAAAGAAGCGTGCGTATATAATTATTCCGTATCTCTACGCTTGATTTCTAAGTGGGTCTAATTGAAAATCCGTGACGACGATCGCCGCTTCTAAACGGCCTGTAACAACCTCGATTCTAATTCCATCGCGCCATCTCCACCTCCGGGGAGAGAACTCGTTAACGCTTCCGATACGGAGTTCCGCATTGCCACCGAGTTCCCGTCATCGTGCTGGAACACCAGCCACGATTTCCTGCCGCGCATTAACCCTGTATTTACGTTCGAACGCGGCCAGAATGTCTTTCACTGGAATTGCCATTGTCTCGTTTGCTTTCAACCGACGATCCGCCCATCGTTTCGATGGGTTTACAGTTGGTACACATTATTACTTGGCAGAAATTTTCATTTCGCCGTAAAATGGCCGTTTTATTATTAGTTTATTATTCATTCCTCACCATATATTTCACAATTTTATCTTGGAGGACAATATCCCTCTTGAATTGTTCTCCTTTGCGTTCTATATCTTTAGAAGATAACATTTTTTTTTTTACGGAAATATCGATAAAAATGTTCTCTTCAAATTTATCGAAAGAATTATCAATGGATTGATCCTGAACGTAAAGTTTTTAATTTTAGGAATCGAATGGAAAAATTGTCAAGGTTTCACGGTAATCTGTAAAAAATAAGGAAAGATAGAAGATTTAATTCATAATTTATTTTTTAGCGAATTAATTTCCGACGAATCTTTAACAAAGTTTTAAAGTCTTTTAATAATATCTATTTTTCTTTGATAAAAATTTGACAAAACGAATTCACGAAATTACATGAAACATTTTGGCAAATCTGAACGCGAGAAAACTTGTTGCAAGAGATTAAAATGCATCGGAATGAAATATTATTCATCGTAACATCGTATTGCTGTTAATCGCATAACCGGATGAGATTGCATTACGAAGCATTTTTCTACGTGGTTTGAGCGTCAATCACGCCGGTGTTCCATTTGTTCATGACGTTTTCCGATAGAACGAATCGATTTTTCAGGTGCACCAAGATAGAAAGTAGCTTTGCAACAAGATATTTTTTAATCGCTTTGCAGCTGAATATATATACAAGATAAGAAGGTAGAGGCGTGAAAGGGATCGAGGTAGATTTACTAAAAAAAAAAAAAAAAAAAGAAAAAATATGTCGCGTGAATTTATCTCCATTATTGTATACAAATTGTTCTATACAACTTTGTTGCTGCAACTTTTTCTTTTCTTTTTTTTTAAATTTTCTATATTTTACATTCTTTCGAACGAGAAGATGTAAACGACTTTATTTGTCGGTTAAAAAAATTACTGATCAACGTAAAAAATATTTAACGAAGAATAATTTTTACATTTGATTCGAAAATAAAAAATTGCTCGTTTTAATCTACTGTTTTGATTTTAAACAGAGAAGGAATGTTTAAAAATGAAAATATCCGATCGTTGAATGTCGTACCTTTTACCATTTTTTTTTTTTCGAATTTTTTTGAAAAATTGAATACTGATGAGAAACGATATTTCATACGTCATTCTCCAACACTTCCACTGAGCAAATCGATGATACGTCTCCACTTAGCATGAAGAACGACTCTATTCAAACTCTATTTACCAACCAGTTTACACGGTAAAACACTCCATTCACGAACCGATATTTTCGATGGAGATTCCAAATTTTCCTTTTAACTTAACCGTTTTCTCTCTCAACAATTATAAAAACTATCCATTTTTATTTTTTGCATACGAAAAAACGTCTTTGACAAACAATTTTATTTAAAAATAAAAAATTAAAAATCGTCTTAAAAATAATTCCTGCTTCGTTTCTTATTTTCTTTAAGTATAGAAACACGATATAAAAGTATAAATATGTCAATCCCGATATTTAAAATCAATTTGAAATTAATTTTCGTCCTCAAAAATTTTTCCATGTAACGACAAAAGAGTTATGAAATATATTTCAATTTCTAGCCTTAAATGACTCACGCCGCACACACACACACACACACACACACACACACACACACACACACACACACACACACACACACACACNCNCCACAAC